GTCTTAGCAGGAAGGAGACTGTACTCTAGCAGAGTTTTGTAAATGAGCCATTTTGTTGGGTCTGGTGTCATGTTAAAAAAAAACCTTATTCAGTCAGGTTCATTTTTATTAAATTCATAATATGTTATTGCCTCATAATATCCTTAATGCTTCTGTTTGACATGCAAAAAATTGCTACCCAAAATTCCCACATTTTACAAGAGAAGAACTAAGATCATAAATACAAATTGTAGAAGCAGCTACATAATAAAAGCTTTCAATTTGAAAAACCTCAACATATTCTCTCTGATTGGGGACAATAGAATTGAGCATCTCACCAGACTTAAAGTCTTCTGTGTCTTGCAGTAGCTAAGTTGAAGAGAGTGTTGAAATTTCTTGTTTTTCACAAAATCTTACATATAGCACGTCCATAGTGCAAAAGCATCAGCATTATTATTATTATTGGGCACTTTTTAAAGTGTAATACCTCTTTTGAGTTGCCTGGTGCAATATGGGGGCCTGATTCCGAGTGCTGCCAGCAAAGTGTTGAACACTCTGAGCTCTCAGTGAAACCTGCAGTAGCAGAAAGGGCTCTGCAGTGTGGTCCTGGGCAGTTAAAATTGTTGAGGCAATGTACTATTTCTTTTAATTTTGTTTTTTTACGGCATACCTGTTAAATACTATTAAACTGTTTAGTTATTTAACAGTGCACCATTTGCCTTTTGGAAATACCAATAACATTAAGGCTACGTCTACACTGGCCCCTTTTCCGAAAGGGGCATGTTAATTTCACAGGTCGTAATAGGGAAATCCGCGGGGGATTTAAATATCCCCGCGGCATTTAAATAAAAATGTCCGCCGCTTTTTTCCGGCTTTTAGAAAAGCCGGAAAAGAGCGTCTACACTGGCCCCGATCCTCCGGAAAAAAGCCCTTTGCCGGAGGATTTCTTATTCCTACTTTGAAGTAGGAGTAAGAGATCTTACGGAAAAGGGCTTTTTTCCGGAGGATCGGGGCCGGTGTAGACGCTCTTTTCCGGCTTTTCTAAAAGCCGGAAAAAAGCGGCGGACATTTTTATTTAAATGCCGCGGGGGATATTTAAATCCCCCGCGGATTTCCCTATTACGACCTGTGAAATTAACATGCCCCTTTCGGAAAAGGGGCCAGTGTAGACGAGCCCTAACTGTTTCTTGTATTACTTGATGATTACCTGTTCTGTGAATTCCCTCTGGAGCACCTGGCATTGACTGCTTTCATAAGGTTGAATATTGGGCCAGATGGGCCTTTGGTCTCACCCAGTGTGGCCATTCTTATATTCTTAAAACTTTAGACAATAATGAATATTCACCAGTGTTCTGAAAAACAATTTTTGGTATCTCTTTCAGGTGGGTGCTCTATGAGAATCCTGACTTCACAGGAGAGCAGTACATACTTGATAAAGGACTGTATCCCAGCATTGAGGCCTGGGGGGCCAAGAATAGTAAGATCTCTTCAGTTCAGCCCATAGTTGCAGTAAGGAAAGATTTTTTTTATTTTATTTTTTTGGTATTACTGTGTTTCATATAAGGATGTTGAATATTGAGTAATTTACTAGTCGATGGAATTTCCATTGACTAGTTGATAGGCACTTTCGCATTCCTCCTTTGAAATGTCTGAGAGCCCCCTGACTCTGGGCTGCACACGGGTGCCAGCTTTCAAATATACAAGAGTCCCCGGCGAGGACTTTTGTGCATTTCAAAGTGGAAGCGTCCTCATGGAGCCTGGTGTTAGCGGGGGACTTAGAGTCCCCTGCTGACCCTGGACTCCATTCTGCACTGCTGCTTTGAAATGCTATGTGGAGCCGTCCCCAGCTGACCCCAAGCTCCGTGTGGCATTTCCCCAGAACCTGGGTTCAGCTGGGGACTCCCCAGCTGACTCTAGGCTCTGCGCTCCACGCTGGAACCCGGGATCAGCTGGGGAGTCCCCAGCTGACCCCAGGCGCCACGCAAACGCCATGGCGATGTTTCAAAGCAGTGCCGCACGGAGCTCACCCTGGGCTCCATGCAGCACTGCCACTTTGAAGTACCCCCTATTTCCCAACCACCTTTGCTGCCTGTATTTAATAGAGCAGCAAAAGAGAGGGGGAGGGAATTGACTATCCAATAAGCATTTATTTATCAGCTAGTCAACTAGTCTTTAACATCCCTAGTTTCATATATTTCTGCCAAGCAATTGTAGTTATTTATCCTCTTTTTCTAATGAAATTTAAGTTTGCTTAATTTCATAAAGCCATGCATTTTATTAACGCCTGTGCATTATTTCATCACTTTTAATACCTGTTTTTTGTTTTCTAAATGTTTTAGGATACCATTGGTAGCCAAATGGGGAAATTCAAGGTAATCCCTTTTCTAAATTTGTAAAATAAATATACTCTAGCTGTCATGTGTAATGCATATAAATAAAAAAAATCAGACATTCTGTCAGATGGTAATTTGATCAAATTACTAAAATATCTAAGCACCCAAGCAAATGGCTGAGATGTCAGAATAGTTGATTAGAATGGAGTTTGCTACATCTCATCAAAGTTTAGAGAACCTGTAAGGTTGAGTAGCTGCCAATACTAATAGTTGCATACCATTGTGTTACTTTTTATGAGAGAAGTGAATATTCTCTGGCTCCATTATCTTTAGCTCCTCATTTCTGCTTAGCTTTCCTCCTGTGCTCTTCTACACTCATGCTGTTTATTTGATTTCCTGACCTTCTAGTATTTAAAAACTTGAGGCGCAAAGGGGCTGTTGGTGCAATATCACGTATTTTAAAATTAAGTACAGAAGTCAGGAAATGCAAAGTTAATACAACATTTCCTGATTTCTGTGAATTTAAGTTCTGAATATTAACAGTGAATTAACAGTTTCTTCTTTTTGATTCAGTGCCCACTAACTTAAAACTTCGTAAGAAAAATATTACAACTGAGTGAAAGTTGAAGGGAGAGGAAATAGAAACCCTTTCTCATCCATAAATAAAGCATAGTGTTAGCTATTTTTAGCAAGCAATATTAGAAAAAACTTGCCTTTGGCACTATCTGATGCAACTGATCAGTCTTAAAAACTCTTCCTTTGCTGCTTGAGTGTTCCAACTTCTTTCAGTATCCTGAAAATATACCTTGAAAATAGTTCGATGGATTAGTACCCTAGTTCAAATTTTTGCAACCCCTACCCTCTCAAATTATGTCCTCAGTGGAATTACACAGATGAAACAGGCCATAAGCTGCAGGTTGCAGAACTAGACCTGGAATTAGAATTTAGGTAACAATTCAAGCTATGAGGGAATCTAGGTTGGAATCTTTCCGTCTCTCATAGCTCTCTGGGGCTATCCTACTTTAAAGAGTAGTAAAATCTTTGTGTCGGAGGGGTAGCCTTGTTAGTCTGTGCCTGCAAAAATGACAAGTCTTGTGGCACCTTTAAAGATTAACAGATTTATTTTGACATAAGCTTTCATGGGTAAAAACTACTTTCTAAGATGCATAAAATAAATAAAATAAAACTTTGTGTCACTGAAGCAAGGAGATATGACTCTGAACATGCAGAAGATACTTATGGATTTCAGATGGCTTTTAAAAATGAAAAAAAATGTTTTCGTCCTTTTAATAAAAAGAAATCATGTACAGATCAAACTTGAAAAAGTTTTTAGACTAAATGCTGAAATAGCACAAAGTCGTGGGTTGGTGAGAGGAAGAAGTCTTATCTGATATGATTTGCATCTTTTGCTGATATTGTGCCTTATCTAAGCCCTGCTGAATACAGCTCTATTTATTTAGCTTTTATTATTGCCCAGCCCCGTGCACATTTTTGAAAAATTGTCTGCATCTGCATATTATATTCATCTAAACAGATTCTTAAGTGAAATAAGGAAACATTGGACATATGTTTTCTTTGGGGACGTAGTCTTTTTGTTGCACATTATATTCCTCTTGTGAGAAACTTCTACGTGCCTGGATGTGTTCCTGTTTTAAGTGTGAATACATTTAGCATAACTATTATACGGATGATTTCTGTGTGATTAGGTTAAATTATTGGATCAACTATCTTCCTACAGTAATTAATATAAATAAAACTCTGTGTGGCTTTCAGGTTAGGGTGAAATTTTAAATAAGATAAAGGGTTTGTAATATAAATTACACAACTGCATCTAGAGTAGTACAAATACAGTCTTTCTAATCTGGGAATTTATACCCATCATCGTGGTATCTGTGCCTTCCAAAGTTCATATAATGCTTGTATTCTCAGAAATCAGGTTGTTTTGACATGTGAGTGAAAGGGAAAATGTATTTCTAAGATTAAGCTGAATAAAGAACTAGGACAGATGAGCTTATAGACCATTTATAATTCTTACCTTACAAGAAAGTTTTAAAAATCTACTCTGGCACATATTTAAAGAGTTTCACTGTTTACTAATAGTTGTTAAATTGCTTTTCTGAAAAAGACTGTGAGGTAAACAGATTGAAAATTACTTTCTGCGGTAAATCATTCAGCAACATACAAAACAATTCATGTGGATGATAAAATATGTAATGTTAATTTTGCAAAACTGAAGGCTTCAGGGTTTTTAAATGCATTTGAATATAACCATGAATGAAGGTAATGTTTGACTCATCTAGTTGAATGTGTTGAATCGTTATTAAATACCCTGTTAATCCTATGCTATGATTTTTAAAGGTCCAGCTATTTTCAGAGCCAGAATTCAAAGGTGACAGTCAAATATTTGAGAAAAATACCAGTTATATTGATGATTCATTTGCTACAAAGTCTTCAAAAGTGTTGGGTGGCAAGTAAGTACAGAATTATGATTCTTGCAAAATCATTGAAATAGTAAAGAATTTTTAAAATCACAATATTATAATTTTCTGAAATGGGAAGTAGGTGAAGGATCCAGTTTTACATACTAACATTGGAGTCAAATGAAAAAATGTTTTGCAGTTAATCATGTCGATTTTTAATGCTCGGATACCTCTAAAGTTTGTCATATTTCAGCTTACTTCTATTAAACATTTCAACGTGATTTAAAATGAGTGCTTATTTACATGCTAAGGAACGTTGGAAAGCATTGGCAGATTTTGGTTGTGTGGAATGCTTTAGTTATCAGACTTTTTTCTTTCTCTTCCTGCAGTTGGATTGCTTATGATAAAGAAGATTTCTGTGGTAATCAGTATGTGTTAGAAGAAGGAGCCTATCCTAATCTTTCTGCAATGGGATGTGCACCCCAAACAAGCCTTAAATCTCTACGAGTTATAAACATTGTAAGGATAACTGAACAAATACACACACACAGTGGGAGTATATACCTTCTCATTAATGCATGTAATCTGTAGCATTAATCAACTTTTGCTTATCAGTTAACCAACTACACTTTTACATCCCTAATCTAGATGTATGTGTAAGCTCTACTGGACTTTACTAAGTGACAGTTCATCATGGGAAAGCTGAGAATTCTGTCAATGTTTTAGGCCTTAACACTCATTTTAAAGCTGCTTTTTTTGCGTGTTCGAAAGTCAGAATTCCCCAGTGATTTTCAACTAAAAATGGTTAATTAAATCAATGAGTTTAATTAAAATTTGTCTGAAAACACAGTTGAGTGCATAGAAACACACGAATTTGTGCATATGTATTGCCACAAGAAGAAAAAAATGGTTTTGGAATGTTTAATATTCAAATCTGTCTTTGTAGTTTAATGTTCATGGTGACAATCTGAAGTGCTGTAAATGTGTTAAATTGGACCCTTTCTTTTAATACAGGAGCTTTCTGAACCATGCATAGCCCTCTTTGAAAAGGAAGGTTTCAAAGGGAAGAAAATGGAGTTCACGGCGGAAGTCTTAAATCTCCAGTTCCTAGGATACAATCCTCAAGTAGCTTCTGTTGAAGTTTTTGGTGGCACGTAAGTTAAATGTATTACTTTTATGGAAATTAATTACACAATAAATAATGAAAAAATCCTTTGAAGTGAAAACCCATTGCAGTATTAACTTTACAATACATTGTTAATCTTATTTCTGTTTACTGAGCTGAGTGTTAAGGCCCACTTGCTACAAATATATATATTTATACAAGATAAGTTTATTGGACTGGAAGGGCTTTGCATCTTGTAGGAAGTAGGGATATACAATCCTATTAAAAATGGAAACTGGTTAATTATATGTTTAACCAGGTAACTGGCACGCGGGTGTGGGCTGCTCTGGCTGGGCCAGGTGCTGGTTAAATGATTATCCTAGTAAGCATACCAGTAAGGCAATGCTTACTGGATAACTGGTTTAACTGGTTACCCCCTTTACATTCCTAGTCGAAAGCAGGACTTGAGTTCATATAAAATATTGATATAAGAATGGCCACGCTGGGTCAGACTAATAGTGCATCTAACCCAGGAACCTGTCTTCTCACAGTGGCCAGTATCTGAATGAACAGAGCAGGGTAGATGTCACATGATCCAGCCCCTTTTATCCAATCCCAGCTTCTGGCAGTCAGAGGTTTAGGGACACTCAGAAAATGGGGTTGCATCCCGGACCATGTTAGGTCCATCAATAGCTTTTAGCCATCTTCCATCAATTTATCTAATTTTTTTATTGAACCTAGTTATGCTTTTGGCCTTTACAATGTTCCCCAGCATCAAAAGCCACTAGTTGACTGTGTGTTGTATAAAGAAATACTTGCTTGTGTTTGTTTAACTATCCTTCCTGTTACTTTTCATTGGGTGACCTTGTTCATGTGTTCTCTTAAGAGGTAGATAACTCTGCCTTAAGCACTTTTTCTGCAGTATTCATGATTTTATAGACATCTATAATCAGGGCTCGACAAACAATGTAATCTACTCACCCGTGGCAAGTAGATTACGCCCCGGAAGAGCTGGCTCAGAGCAATCCGCGCATGCGCAGAGCTCAGAACTGTGCGGCTGGCGAGCAGGGCTTGCCGCCGCTTGGTGAGCCCTGTCTATAATATCTCCTCACCCTTTGTTTTCTAAGATGAATAGTCTTTAGCTAATTCTGAAGCTAACAGCTATCCTAGGTGAATACCATTTGGCCTGGTGGCTGAATACTGTTTAATTTATCAGGTTGTTCCAAAACACCCTTTATTGTCAGCTTAGTGTGGAACAGTCTTTGGATTCTTTGCCTAAAGAATAACTGAGGTATAATAGGAATCTTTTCCCTCACTGTGAAGACTAATGTAAGAATTAATTTAGATTATTTGCAACTTCTCTAAGAGCTTTTTAGCATCTCAGCCATTTAGTCGCTGCACTAATTAGTTACTAGGCTTCCTGTTTATGTACTTTAAAATAAAATTGTGCTGATAGTTTTGATGTTTTTTTGTTAGTTGCTGTTAATTTTTTTTTTTTTTTTGGCTTGCCTAATTATACTTTTATATATGAACTGGAGAAAGGGGTAAACAGCTGACACAATTTGCAGATGATATTAAACTGCTCAAGATAGTTAAGAACCAAGCATATTGTGAAGAGCTTCAAAAGGATCTCACAAAACTAGGTGATTTCACAACAAACTGGCAAATGCATTTTAATGTTGATAAATGCAAAATGATTTAGATACAAAATTATGGGGACTAATTTAGCTATAACCAGTTAGATCTTGGAATCACTGTAGTTAGTTCTCTGAAAACATCCACTCAATGGTCAGCAGCATTCATAAAAGCAAATCGAATGTTGGGGGGGGGGGGGGGAGGGGTGGGTGTGATATATATTTTTTCTTATTTGGGATATATGGGCAGTTTGAGCATCTATTATGTTTTTACAGAATTTCTGTGGAGCTTGCAGACATTTCACTCTTGTGATGGTACCATTTTATTTCTGTTTAACGAGCCTCTTTATTTTTTGTTTAATTCTCCTTTTTGAAGTTAAATGCTGTTGTGGTGAGTTTCTTTGGCATTTTTTCCCTGCAAGGATGTTAAATTTAAATACATTATGATTGGTATTACCAAGCAGTTCAGCTATATTCACTTCTTGGACAAGATTTTTTTGCACCAATGAGGACTAAATTAGGAATTGCCTGTCCCCTCTAAAAAGCAGTTATTAATGGTGTCTAGAAATGTTATGTCTGCATCCTGTCCTGACGTGTTCCTAGGCAGTATAGGGTTAATTGAAATTCCATTATTGTTGGCTCTTTTGGGGTTTTTTAGTCTCTCTAACTTCTCTAGCATTTCACCATTAGTGTCGCCATCCTGGTCAAATTGTAACGTGTAAGGTAATTATCATCTAAATTAAGGCCCATTCACGATGTGTCCAATTTTAGCATAAAAGAAAGAGTTCTGAAGTCTCTCTCTGTAATCTGGTGTTAGTCTCTTTGTAGGAAGATGCATGTTGTTAGGTCTTTAAGGGAATGGCCAGTTTCATTAAAATGTAGGCTGGCAGGCTTTTCTGTGTGGAGATATCTGATTTGTGAGTATTAATTCTCTGGCGAAGTGACTGACCAGTTTGTCCAATATACACCACAGAGGGACATTGTTGGCACCTTACGCATTACAAAGACAACCTCTCCACCTTTTGATATTCGTAGTAACTCCAGTTAAGCCACTTAATTGACGCTTACAATAAGCAATTTCTTCCTTCCTTGTCACTTCCCTCCTCCTCCTCACCCCCACATTCTGTGCTGTGTATCTGATTCGTTATTGAATATTTTGTTTGTTTTTTCATTGTATCCCTCTGTTGCATAATAGTCATGCCTATTAACATAAGAACGGCCTTATTGGGTCAGACCAAAGGTCCATCTAGCCCAGTATCCTGTCTACCGACAGTGGCCAGCACCAGGTGCCCCAGAGAGGGTGGACCGAAGACAATGATCAAGCCATTTGTCTCCTGCCATCCCTCTCCAGCCTCTGACAAACCGAGGCCAAGGACACCATTTTATCCCCTGGCTAATAGCCTTTTATGGACCTAACCTTCATGAAATTATCTAGATTCTCTTTAAACTCTATTCTAGTCCTAGCCTTCACTTTCAGAATATGATGCACGAAAGCTCATCACCTAATAAACCATCTTGTTAGTCTACAAGTGCTACATGAGTGTTTTTTTCATTTAATCCATAACTTGACATTTACATCTGTTATGCAATTCCCTTAATTTTGGCTAGGTGAAGGGTCAGATTTCCATAACAACCAGGTGATTGCTTCATTCTAAAATATTGAAATGAATGGAATGGATTGTCCAGTCTGAATGGATGGATTTTCTTTTTCTTGTTTACAAGACCACCTCTGAGGCCAAAAGCTAATCTGTTTCTTGGCCAAGGAGGAGGAAGTGGTGGTAGTGATTCAGTTAGTGGAAGTATACGTGTACTCCTTAATCTGTTATATGTCTCTTTGTTCCAAATGTTGTCAGCGCTTCCTATCTATGTGCCGTACATTGTATAAATAACTGTCAGCTACTGAACCACCAATACTAGCTTTCTTAGTATCTCCCACCTACTGTTCCTAGCCTCTCTGCACACACTATCTATGCTGATGGGAGAGTTCTCCTGCTGGCATAGATGATCCACCTCCCTGAGAGACAACAGCAAAGTGGACAGAAGAATTCTTCCATTGATTTAATGCTGAATGACCAGGAGTTAAGTCATCATCGTTACTTCTCTTAGGGATGTGGATTTTTCACATCCTGAGAAACGTAGCTATACTCATGTAAACCCCAGGTGCAGACAAGGTATCAGAGTGGTTCATTTTAAAATTAAATTATCTAAGGGGTAGATGGGTGATGGGCTAAGGAGGCACTTAGAAATTAAAGCCGCACTCATTGTACACATTTCATGGGATAGCTATGGCTTCTGAGGAGCCAGTCAGAGTGCAGACAGTGGAGAGAAATGTGCATAATCACTGAAAGGTTATTGAAAAATTATGCCTGTCAGTCTCCTAGCTAAACAGACCTTAGGAAATTGTTCCTGTGAGGGAACTATACAACTGCCCTGCACTTTGGACCATTCAGAGTAATACAGAATAATAAACACATTCACACCTCCAGTTTTGTCTTGTTAGTGTTTTTGCAGCCATAAAGGCAAATCCTGACCGGATCCTGCAAATATAAGACTGCCAGAAAATCTGTGCACATTCCATAGAGTGCCAGGCAGAACTTTTCCATTCCAATTATGTCACGCTCCTACTTTCCACCTTTCCCCTGCCCAAAAAAACAAAACAAAAAACCTGGAGAAGGACATGCTGCAATAGGGCATAAGTGACAGAGATCTGTGTGTGCTTGTGCTTACAAGTACCCCACATTGCAGTTCTCACCTGGATGAGTTGTGGATAGGAAGCTCTTGCAAACCATTATAAAAGTACACAACACAACTGCTCTTGTAGCATATTTACACACCCCTTTCAATTGGCTTCTCTGTATGTTTCATGAAATGGCATCACTAAGCGTGAAGTACAATATTTTATGTAGTCTCTAAGGGTATGTCTACACTACAGCGTTATTTCGAAATATCTTACTTCAAAATAGTTACTTTTAAATAGCTTATTTCGAAACAACGCATCTACACACAAAATGCATTTTGAAATAGAGCGTCCACATTGAGTGGAAGCCGAATCACATTTAAGGCCGGCCGGACCCAGGTCCAGCAGGGCATCAGGTCAGGAGTTACTTTGTGTGGCTGCTGCCTGAGGCTATCTGAGACCTGTGCTTAAAGGGACTCCCCTTTGTTCAGCCGGTTCTCAGGTTTCCCTGCTTGCTTGCCTACTTCAATGAGGGACAGCAAAGCATTTTGTCTCTGCGTGCTCTGGTTGCTCTCACTTGGGACACCACAGCCCTCTGCAACATGGAGCCAGAGCTGCCCCTGGGCACTCTGGTGCTTCTCGTGGATGCGTTTCTGCGAGCCTGGCTGCACTTTCTGCAGGCTGCCATCCGGGAGGTCCATCTGGGGGCTGTCAGTATCCAGGAGGCCCTGCAGGAGAGCTTCCACCCTGAGGAGCACTAAGAGCCTCCCTGGTCTGCCCCACTGGGGGCTTATGCCTCATTCTTCTCCCTCACGTCCTTCTACGTCCTCCCTCTCTAGCCCCCCCCCCCCCATGTCAAATAAAATACATGTATTGTCATGAACACAACTCTATTTAACAAAACTGGGGCAGGAGGGAGAATGAAACTCTGGTGAGACTGGGGAAAGGAGGTGGGAGAGGGGAGGGGGAAACCTGGGAGAAGGGAGCTAGAAGGGGGAAGCAAGGAGCCGAAGGGGGAGAGGAAGCTCAGGGTTGGGAGTGTCGCTGGACCAACTTGATTTTCATGCAAACCTGCTCCTGGGTTCGTATGTGGCCTTTGGTGGCCAGGCTGGCTGCTATCCTGCCATAGACGGTCACTTTCCTCCATCTAGTGCAGAGATCATGGACATTGGGAGCACCCCCCCCCAAACCTGAATAAGGTCTGTGATCTCCACCCTGGAGCAGGAAGGCTTTCGCCTTCTCCGGGCCCTGGCAGGCTCCTGGGAGCTGTCAGACTGCTTCTGGGGAGCAGTGGAGGGCTGACTGCCAGTGGCTTGCTGGCTCATGTTCTGGGGCCACTGGGTCAGGGGCAGGGACTGCTGGCTCTGGGCTGGCAGGCTTGGAGCTGGCACAGGCACTGTGGCCAGGGTCAAACCCTTTAAGGGCTCCGGGGATGGGGGAGGATTCTTGGTCGAGGCCGGAGGGCACCCTAGGAAGGCTGGAGGCCCCCTATCCTATTTTGATATAAGTGTCTACACAGCACTTATTTTGAAATAGCAATTTCAAAATTGGCGTTATTCCTCGTGGAATGAGGTTTGCCAAATTCGAAATAAGCGCTCCGCTATTTCTAATTTTGAAATAGCAGTTTGGCTGTGTAGACATGAGTGAAGTTATTTCAAAATAACTTTGCTGTGTAGACATACCCTAACCAATTAAAATTATTTATTTCTTTTTAGTATGTAATTTATAAATGAAAAGATTTTAAAACTTGTGCACAAATTTTCCAGTGCTCAAAATCAGATGAATTTATTATTTTGGAGACCACTTGAGAAGAAATATGGTCCTACTTGTTAGCACTATTAACTTAAGCACTATATTTTGGTAACACAAATGTGTCTAAAATATCACTTATTTCAGAAACAGTATTTAATTGGCATTAATACAGATGATGTTTGACAGTTGATAAACGTGAAAGTGTATTTTGTTTTTTTCAGATGGATAATCTATGAATACAGTAATTACAGAGGGCATCAGATGTTGTTGTCACCAAATAAAATCTCAGACTGGCCTAAATTAAGTGGCTATCACCAGATAGGTTCTCTGCGACCTTTATTACAGGTGAGAGAGATGGAGATCTACTTCAAGGTCGGAGAGTTTTCATGAGATCCTCTTTATAGACTTCATTTTTATTGCCCAGTTTCTCATTTTCAATCATTATTTCTAGTACTACACAGTCAAAGGTAACATTAAACATCAGGGTAAAAGAAGGTATTCTTGAAAATTTTGTCTTCAATAATATGCTGATTCTGATGGTACCATTTGGCTTCACAGTACTGCCTCCCAAAATCTGAATTGGTCAGTATGCACAAATTAACTTAAATATGTTATCTTTAAGAAACATACTTTGACTAAATTATAACCATCAGTCAGGATTCTGAACTTCCCACTGGTCACAAGCATTCTGATATATGTATTGTCATGTGCTAGTCTCAGAAATTTGGGGAAATGAAGCTGTTAGTTTTTTGCATACATCAGCCAGAGGCTCTTTCATCTGTGTCAATGGGGAAAAAACCTCAAATCCATTCTCTGTTTATATTATAAACTCTTAAATGTGCAAATTGATTTGTGAATTTAATGTATAGGGTGGAATCGTGTTTTTTTTAGAAGGATTAGCTAATTTGAGGGTTTAGCCTGCTTAAATTCTCATGCCTGACTGTCCTGTTATATGCTAACACCAGCTATGCATATTGAATTAGTTTTTATTAAGAAATTAATTCTTCAATTCATGAATCACTTACAATTTGAATAATTAGAAGTGGGCTAGAAATTAAAGTGCCTGATACTGAACAATGAATGTACTGGTTCCGTCTCCTAGAATTGTCCTTGTACAGGCATCAGGCTTGCTTCTGAACTACTTATCATTCTGCAGAGCAGGGATACACATATTTTGATTGCCCTATGACACTGACACAGATTGCTATTAGCACCTGTTTTTTCTTAGACATTTTTTAAACGCCCCCAGAGAAAACCCAAAATCCAAGGGCCACAGACCCTACCTTACACCAGTGAGTAGTGTTTACTCTACGGTTAACCAGAAGCACTGTTCATTCCTGCAATAAATAGTGTAACTAAAGAGCTCTGTTGTTTTCATAGAAACGTGTATACTTCAAACTTCGAAACAAGGAAACTGGAAAGTTCATGTCGGCTGATGGAAATGTGGATGATTTGAATCTTCTCAGAATACAAGTTACAGAAGATAGTAAATCAGATAACCAGATCTGGGTTTATCAAGATGGATTCATCAAGTGCAGGGTAAGGTTTAAAGTTAGTTGATTGAGGTTGTTTTAAGCACCCAGCCTGATGTTTCTGGATGACCATCATTATAGCTGGTATGACTTGTGATTCAAAATTCTTTTCAGGCTTGACAGAGGCATAGAATGTTTAATTTGAAATATTTTTGTTGATTTCAGCAGTGAATAGTTCCCACTGATGGAACTCTGCCTATCTGTGGATATCCACAGATTCGGATGCCAGCAGCACTCCGCCTGGCCGCCAGGTGGGGGTAGGGGGTCACTAGAGCAGGCTCCTGCACTGCCACTGGGGAAGGGGTGAAACAAACTCCTAACGCTCCCTTCACAAGGGCTGAGTGCCGGCTTTCCTTCCCTCCCTCCCTTCCCCCAGCCAGGTGAGCACTAACCTGCGAGAGCCCCCATTCTAGCTCAGGGACACATGATGTCACTACACACTGTTCTGTGCTGCCAGCTACTGCAGCAGGGAGCATGTGTCGGGGAGGCAACTGATTTCTGGGAGAGGAGGAGAGATCCAGCAAAGCAGCGAGCTGCCTGGCTCAGGAGGAGGGCAGAGAGCCTGGCTTTGTGGGACCAGGGCTAGAGCTGATGCTGCCGGGGCAGCACCCTGGGTGGTAGCTGCTTCCTCGGAAGCAGGGTTTCCCTCCCTGCTCCGGGGATTGAAGAAGACAGGGCCCCAAGGCAGTACCCCTCTGCCCTGCTGTGATCTGCCAGAAGCTGCTGCCGCCGGGTGCTATTGCTCTTGAGTTCCTGGCGGCAGCAGCACATAATGCAAATCCATTCTCTTGCCCCCAACCCTTCTAGAGAACCCTTATATTGCCCCCATGCTGCTCCTTACTCTCCCCCCCCCACCCCAGTCCCAGCTCTCATGCTGCCTGCCTCTTCCCTGCAATATTGCACCGTCACACTCACTCATCTGTGTTCCCTCCCTTACCCTCTCATCTGCATCTGCACAGCAAGCCATCTTGAAAATAAAATCCAGATCACAGATTGCAAATTGTATGATGAGTTGAGGCTGGCGGATGTGGGTCAGATGCAGGTCCACGTTTTTGTATCTGCATAGGGTTCTACCCATTGAATAGTTCCTCTTTAGTTATTTTTTTTATTCAACCACATACTCTTTACTTTGCAAAATTAATTTCTTCTGTGTCTTCCTTCCTTCCTTTTTGCCATGTCTCACTCTTGTGCAGTTCAGCTGAAACATAACTTTTTTTCTCTTTTATCAGTCCTTTTTTGGGTGATGATAATCTTCTTTTAACAAACAGTATATCAGCAAATAAGAACATATTGCATTTTTCTTTAACTGAGTTAGAACATTCTAGATATGTTAGTCCAACATGTTTGATTTTGGGTTTTTTAACTTGTTTAAGAACATTAAGGTCATATACAGGCAGTCTCCGGGTTACGTACAAGATAGGGACTGTAGGTTTGTTCTTAAGTTGAATTTGTATGTAAGTCGGAACTGGTACATATTGTACCCCAGATGTCCCCGATTCAGCCGCTGCTGAAACTGACCGTGGCACATTAACAGGGGTGTGCAAGATGAATTAGGCTTTTTCAGCT